GGAATTTCTTTCAACATTTTGTGTCAGTCATCTAAATTGGACAAAAGTGGACGGATCTATAGCAATATCCCTATACTTCTGGTCTGTAGCTGTAGGACAATTTGTAAACACATTTATAGTTCGCTATGTTGACCAAGTGAAGTTGATAGGAACCTACAGCTTTGTATTAATACTAGTATTAACAGAAATGACTTTTAGTGCTGCCAACTATTTTCATGTCGCAGTGTGGATTTCTCCTTCCCTAGTGGGACTGTCTCTCTCCATCATATATCCCATAATATTTACATGGACAGAAGACGTGTTTATGCCCGTGACTGGGCGAATCTCGTCCTTGTTTATCGTGACTGGCGCTATGGGTAGCATGATTAATCCAACAATACTTGGGGTACTGATGACACAGTACAGCCCCATGTGGTATTGTTACCTCCTTCTCATAGAGAGCATAATGCTTTTTGTCTTCTGTATCTCAGGATTTGCCATGCATCGATTCACAAAAGCTAGATTTTCAAACAAAAGAGACGAATCCAGGGGCATTTTGAAGCCGTGACGAAGAATACGTTCAAAAAGAATTTTTCTGTTGATCATTTCTCGGTAAGATGGACTAGATGGATACTTAGGAAATGCGTACGTGTGTTTATTATCTTATTATTTGTTATACGCGTGTCTGTTCACATGTCGACATTTTCTAAGATTATGTCGACATATTTTAAAAAAAAATGTCGACATACCTAACATAAGTCGGTGACAGAAATATGCCTTCATAATAACTATACACTTGCTATGAAAGATGAACGTATCACACATACACACACACACACACAAGTAATTGCACCTTTAAAATTTAGTACTAGACACAGTAAGTCCAAAATTAATTACATCATACATTTAACACCTGTTTCGTCCTTCTAGGACTCTTGGTGATGCTAGGGGCCAACAGGTTTGAAATTCAAATTGTCAGAACGACTGTGAAACAAAGGAGCAGGTGCGTGTGTATGAACTTTACATATGCAAGATTTAGTATCCAGATATCAGGCAATGTGCTATCTGTATTGTTATTTTTATTCATGTTGTATTACAAATTCGCAAACTTATCTTATACTTCTTTTATATTTTTGTTTGTTATTGTGACAGTTGCTTTGAAGAAAAAAGTAAATAGATGTTATTTGAAACCTGTTTTCAAAGTAGTTTTGCCAAAAGATTATTGATTTCTGACGTTATCACTTATGTCTTTAATACAAATGTAAATGCCCTAATATAATGTCGTTCCTTGTTTTTAGGTTCATGTAATATAAACAAGTATCATGTTTCTAAGGGTAATTCTTGTTTTTAGGTTTATGTAATATGTGTTTCTGTGTTTATGTAATCTATCGTGTTGTTTATACAATGTTTCTCAGGGTATTCCTTGTTTTTAGGTTTATGTAATATGTGTTTCTATGTTTTTGTAATCTATCGTGTTGTTTGTACAATGTTTCTCAGTGTATTCCTTGTTTTTAGGTTTATGTAATATGTGTTTCTATGTTTATGTAATCTATCGTGTTGTTGGTACAATGTTTCTCAGGGTATTCCTTGTTTTTAGGTTTACGAAATATGTGTTTCTATGTTTATGCAATTTGTGAGTATAGTTTATACAATGTTTCTAAAAATCTTCCTTGTTTATGTAATATATGATTCTATGCATATCAATATATTTTTTGTATATGCAATATTTGTTAAAATGTAAATGGACGGTATAGATAATGAAATATATTTTTCTATGTACATGTATATGTATTATATGTTTATTTGTATATGTCTTATTTAAGAATATGATGCTTTTTGTCCTCCTTCCCTGCAGCTGTCCGATAATCTTTGTATCTATTTTTTAATAACCGAACTGCACGTAACACCTTTGCAAGATGGGTCTAAATCGAGTTCGATGTCTTTCAAATATTATTGATAAATATAGTATACGAAGTAAAGACATAGAAAGAAAAACAAACAGACGGACATCTGAACTACCAATTGAATATGCTTCAATATGTACGTATGCTACAGAGTGGATTACTTCTAGATTGATGAAGGAACAGTAGGGCTGATGATGGGACTACCCATACTAATTCGAACGGAAGTTCCCTCCGCGTATTTATTACAAGCCTATAATAGTTATGTTCAACCGAGGACAAAACCTAGTCACCTCGGAAATGTTGTGTTGATATAGAATATACAAGTACTAAGGTTAATGGAAATGACACTTGTACACTTGTGTATGTACTCTACGTGTACACATACCTACACCTGTATATACTCTATGTGTACACATACCTACACCTGTATATACTCTATGTGTACACATACCTACACCTGTGTATGTACTCTAAGTGTACACATACCTACACCTGTGTATGTACTCTACATATACACATACCTACACCTGTATGTACTCTACATGTACACATACCTACACCTGTGTATGCACTCTACATATACACATACCTACACCTGTATGTACTCTACATATACACATACCTACACCTGTGTATGTACTCTACATGTACACATACCTACACCTGTATGTACTCTACATGTACACATACCTACACCTGTGTATGCACTCTACATATACACATACCTACACCTGTGTATGCACTCTAAATATACACATATCTACACCTGTATGTAATCTACATATACACATGCATACACCTTTATGTAATCTACATATACACATACCTACACCTGTATATACTTTTCATATACGCATACCTACACCTGTATATACTCTACATGTTCACAAACCTACACGTGTGTAATTAATCTACATATACACATACCTACACCTGTATGTACTCTACATATACACATACCTACACTTGTGTATGTACTCTAAGTGTACACATACCTACACTTGTGTATGTACTATAAGTGTACACATACCTACACCTGTGTATTTAATATACATGTACACATACCTGCACCTGTATGTACTCTACGTGTACACATACCTACACCTGTGTATGTAATCTGCATATACACATACATACAACTGTATATGTAATATCCATTTACACATACCTACACCTGTGTATGTAATCGACATATACACATACCTACACCTGTATGTAATCTACAAATACACATACCTACACCTGTATGTAATCTACATATACACATACCTACACATGTGTATGTAATATACATGTACACATACCTACACTTGTGGATGTTATCTACATATACACACGCATACACCTGTATATACTCTACAAGTACACACACCTACACTTGTGTATGTACTCTACATATACACATACCTACACCTATACCTAGAGAAGAAGGAGGATTTTAAAGAATTTGCTCTATTTCCCCTATTGGGCCCTCCCCACAGTCCCCTGGGGATCCAGATCAACGGTGTATATAAAATTGGTCCCCCTTAGCCCAACGATGATTCAGACTAAATATGGAACAAATTCTTTCATTCCTACAGAAGAAGAAGAAGGATTTTAAAGAATTTGCTATATTTCCCCTATTGGGCACCGCCCCTCAGCCCCCAGGGGGGCAGACCCACAGTTTATATAAAATTGGTCCCGCTTAACCCAATGATGCATCATACCAAATATGGAACAAATCCTTTCATTCCTAAAGAAGAAGAAGGATTTTAAAGAATTTGCTATAAAATCCCTTAATCGCTACGGTAGAAGAAGGATTTTAAAGGTTTTAACTCTATTTCCCCTATTGGGCCCCCTCTCTGCCCCCAGGGGAGCCACACCCACCATTAATACAAAATTGAGTCCCCTTGGCCTTAGAATGCTCCAGACCAAATTTAGTCAACATCTACTTGGCCGTTCAGGACTAGTAGCGTTTTAATTAAAGGAAAAATTGACGGACGGACGACAGACGACGGACGCTGCGGTATGGCATAAGATCACCATGGTCCTTCGGACCCCAAAACAGATATTAAATTCCCTTTGCCCAAAGATGCTCCAGATCAAATTTGGTTAAAATCCCTTCATCGGTAAAAGGGAGAGTTCTTCAATGTTTTTTTTCTCTATTTCTCCTTATGCGCCCCATCTGCAAGGGGCCCACACACCTCAGTTTACACAAAATTGATTCTGTTGTCCCTAAGCATGCTTCAGACTGCATTTTGTTTAAATCCCTTCACTTGTTGAGTAGCAGAAACAGTTTCCTCTATTTCCCCTATTTGACCCTTCCCCTCTGCCCAGGGGGGCCATGCCCTCCGTTCAATGATGCTCCAGACCAAATTTGGTCAAAAGCCTCTTAGCCGTTAAGAACTAGTATATATATACATGAAACGTTAACAAAGATGTTGTGATTATGTTATCTTTAATATCACAAAGGCAAAATTAACAAACAATAATCTGTATACACTTCTTCGTACTTGGAAAAACACATACAAAAGTGACAAACTGACTTGTACAGACACACCTGCAGAAGACGATGACATATAATGTATTGTTCGTAGATATAGGAAGTAGGGCGTCAAATAAAGAAAACATAGGTTTTTACATAAATACACTACATCATAGGGTAACCCTTCACTATTGCGACCGAAAAGCTATCTGATGATTGATGGTAGGATATTTAGTTGATGTCTTTAAATGATTCAAGAATTTTTCACACATGTTTTCCTAACGTTTGAATAATACTTTTGACTTATTTACAATTTATCATAAGATGTTACAAACGGAATGATTATGTAAGAAAATCGCACTGGGGTACACTCCTGACTATTTGGCCTCGTGTACGATTAATCGTTATCTAGTGCTTGTAAACCCGTATAAAATAAATACACGTACGCGTTATATAAATAAACACAGGAATTATCAGTTTCTTCTGTAAACAAATCAACGTGGAATGATCAAATTGGACTCTACTCCTCAACCAGTCACCAAGTATCGGGTTAATACATAAAGGCTTGCATATGTATATCATATGTATATCTACAGTATATCATATGTATATCTACAGTATATCATATGTATATCTACAGTATATCATATGTATATCTACAGTATATCATATATATATCTACAGTATATCAATTACCGACTAGCTTCATTGTAAATAATTATTTGTTTACTCATGTCAATATCAAACAGATAACCGGCATTTCTCTCACTCACATATATGATCCCATATACTGCAAATGTGGGTAATGGCACTTATCAACGTCATCGACGTCATGAAAAGCGGCGGCACATGTACAGTTTATCCACATCAAGATCTGTGATGTGTGCAAGTCATTCAAACCATGAACAGTGACACTTTAATACGTCATCTACACCTTTAACATTACAAATTGTGCGAGTCATTCCCATCATGAACAGTGGCATTGGTAAAACAGTGATATCCTGTATCATAATTTGTGGTCAAGACAAATATTTTGAATCTTTTTCGAAACAAAGTGAATCGTATGAAAAATAAGAGCTTAGTAGTCTAAAACTAGCGTTATTTGACAACATATTTAACAACAAATTCGACTCATTTGATTGATGAAGATTAGCTATTTGGTTGATTGATTTGTATAAATCATTGTAATTTGACTATATTATCTTTTATAAACAACAATTTAAAGCGCACTCGACAGGCATAGACGGCTTCAGCAGTCGGATTGGAAATTTAGTTAAGTATTTAGCCTTGGGTATATGTGGCAGAGTCCGGAACCAAAACGATTTTTTAATGAATCATGTACTCCTTTATACAAGCGGTATATTAGTATTATTTTCAGCTCTCAATAAAAAGCTTCGGTTCAAAAATGACAAAAAGGTTCCGTTGTCTACAGAGCTATAGAATACTCTTATTATAGAAGTAAAAGCAGGCTACAAACGCTAAAGAGTAACATTACTTAGTTGTAAGAGTAAGCTACAATGCAACAGAGCACGCTCTCTCCAGTAGCGACTATGTGAACAGTAGTTGGATTGCTTACGCACTTCATAGAATATGCATATAGCTCAGTGCAAACCATACTGCTAACGTCACAACAAAAATATTAATATTTTATTGTTCATATATAAACATGATAGCACTCAAACGAAATATGATTGTCAAGCATTAAAAAGTAGACATATACGAAATGACCTCCTCGCAAAAACAAATTCACCTTACTTAGCATGTATCTTAAATTAAAAAAAATAATAATAATAATAATATTTATTCAATATAATAAATGAACCGATTGTGGTCAGTAAAAGCCAGCGTTCTATTTATCACGTCATAACATGAATGACGTCACTATCACAAAAATCGATTTTCAATAGTTAAATTGGATTTTGATATGGTTCATATTTAAAGCCAGTGAAAATGATATGTAAATAAGCATATAAAAACAACCATTTATTGATTGTATAGATTCGTTTTTCACTTGCGTAACCATGCACTAGATGTAAACCTGCAAAAACTCATTTACTGAAAATTTCAATATATTCACACTCATTTTACATAAACGTTGCTAGATGATGAAACATAAGGACAAGTTTCATGGCTGCAATGATCTATTGTCTTTTGTAATATTAATACCGACGTTTTTGATGATCCTCATCATCGTTCCTTGTATATTCGTTGTCGCTATACACGTTTTCTCTTTCAGAAAGTACAACTACATTGATTCGACATAGATTCACGTGGCGGTGTTCGTCGATGAAGCAGGCCTGACTTTCCGTTTATTTTTTCAATGGTCTCCGAGTTAATCTTCCCTTCGTTCATATCTTGTCTTAGTTTCATTTAATTCTGATTTCATACTATCTTAACATGATTCTTGCTACACTTTATAACTAACAAATTTATATGACATAATTTGTATTCAAATACACATTCACTCATTCAACAGTAATTTAAAGACACTCGTAACATATTTTAATACATCAACTCGTTCAACGATATATTTCGGCAAAAATACACTCGTTTCCGGAAAACATAGGCCTATACAGTTTTTACTGACGCATATATATACACATACTCTAATTATAGACTGACAATTTTAAATACACATGCACATGTTTATAAACAATTTTAAATACACAAACACCTGTTTACTTACAAATTTAAATACCCATACACTTGTTTCCAGATATATCTTAATACACTTGCACTTGTTTCGTGATATTTAAAACAAGAGGCCCAGAGGGTCTGTATCGCTTACCTATAATATTTGCACAATCATAGGAAAATATTCTCAATAAAAGTATTTTTGCAAATATTTCCATATATTGAATCTCCTTGGCTCTGGAATGTTCCAGACTAAATGAAACTTTATACTACTCCATCCCAGCATGCTACTGGTCAAATTTCCTCACCCAGGACCTGTTGGAATTGCGGAACAAGTTGTTCAAAGGTATTTACATAATTGATCCCTGTGACCGTGAGAGTAGGTCAAAGTAATTTATTAAGGAAAACCTTATATCCCTCTGTCCCAGGTACCTAATGGTTAGGTCTCAGTACTCTGGGCCTCCAGGTTATTCTGAAGAAGTCGTTCATAGAAAAAGTTGACAGACGACGGACAACACACCATACCATTAGCTCAACTTTCACTTCGCGCCAGACGCGCTAAAACACATACACTTGTTAACGTACAATTTTAAATACACATACTCTTGATAACTCACAAATTCAAGTACACAAGCACTTGCTTACAGACAAATGTAAACATTTTTGTACTCAATTACTAGCACACATAAATACCCATACATGTATAATCTTTTACTTGCAGAGTATCTTCGTAATGACTGCCACACACCACTAACGACTTACATCCTCGATAATCCAGTTATAACGCTGACTTTCGCTCGCTGCGTCCCTGGAGTATGACATGCCAAAAGCAATGTCTCAGTGTGCGCCACCTTGTGGATGATACAAGAAGACTTGTTTAAGTCTTTGATGTATATCAAACATCATGTGTCACTTCCCTGCAATCTTCAAAGTACATGTATCAGTCTATTAATTGGTTAGTGGGATTTTTACCCAAGACCAATTTTATAACTTATGGCGTGCCTTCTATTTTGCCAGGACAGAATCCAGGGTTGTAGAGAGCGTAATGAGCGTAACCCTCAGAATATCGAAGATAACGACTTTGGATTATAAACTCAGACTCATAACACAGTTACTGCCAAGGGCAGACATTCATTTAATTTAATAACGAGTGTTTGTAGCGACAAAGTGATTCACCTACATTTATAGCGACAAAATAATCGACAAACAACTACAAAAAATCATTGCAACGGAATAATTAAGGAATACCCACTCGTTAACTCATAAAATTAACAACGAGTCGTTGGCTATTCATTAGTATATATTTGTATATATAGATAAAGCTATAACGTTGTTCATGAGATTTCGGTTATCGAAATTTTATGTTCAGTGCACTAACATTGTTCTTCTGGTGGTACATTACTAATATTCAAAACAATGGAATAATTATCGAAGCAAAAACAATGGCCAAGGATTTCGTCAATTCGTAACAACGCAATATCCGCCACAGGTGTATACACAAAAACACTGTAAAATATTAGCACAACGACATCGTACTAATACAGTACATATCTAACTTGACAAACTTCATGATAAAAGGTAAGTTTATATCTATGCTGATTTCTTCATGTCTTTCACGAGCTGAGTTAAATCGTCGTGTACATTTCGGTTGAGTATCGTCGAAGCACAGAGCAGTGCGGCAAACGAAGCTCCCGTAAATCCGGCCGTCAATATATCTTGACCTGAAAGACAAAAATAGATGTTAGGTAAAACTTCTCCTCGACCGATAACATTTTCCGCAGGCTACAATAGTCTGTAATAATGGAAAGTGTTGATAAATATTGCTCCTTAATTGAAATTTGATAATGTAAGGTAAGGACAGACTATTGCAAAAATTCACCTGTTTTCTATCTTAAATTGTAGGAATAGATAATGTACGTTTATTTGTTTTCGATTATGTCATTTATCAGGTAGGTAACTTGACGTACTTTATATGTTAGACTTTAACATACATTACTTAGTCATTTATTCATATAAAAAATCGGTTTTTATGTAATCGTATCTGTTGTAAGAATAATGTGACCAAATTCTTTGTGCGTTCGGCATAGTATTTTGGTGGCGTAGCACTCCCAAGTCGTCATAAGATCCGTGATATTGCAAGGAGGCATCTACATAAACATAACGCCTTCAGCACACGAAACAAATATTTACACGCGCACATCACACACACTGAGACGACGCGTCCTCAAATGACCTAAGTTGTTAATAGGTCAACCCAATAAACCAAATCTTACACGATACGTTGATTATTACTTATATAATCATGCATATTTAATAACGTCAATTTACTTATTACTGAATGAACAGGGGTGGGTAGAAATTACCGTATCATACTGTTCAAACGGATTTGTAGCTATTTTGATGTCTATTTTAGAAATATACCGAGGCTGACATCGTGAGAAGGATAGGTTGACCCTATTTCATAAAGGTCGGGGTAGTCAGTTTTTCTAGCAGACTGGTGCCATACTAACGGGGACAAACTGTGTCCTACTTTTACGACATGGTTTTCTTCTGATTCGAAGCTGGATCCATCGAAGAGCATATCACAACAGGTAACAAAGACCTTGCCAAATCCATCAAATTTCACTTTCAGACGTATACACGATGTGTTTTCTTTAGATAACAAGAAATAAATTGGCCTTGTAGACTTCTGAATCTGAAATAAAGGCAACTACATACTCTTTATATCAGCCGCTTACTTTACAACATGACCATCTAAGCTGTGCGACAAGCGTAACAATTTCTATTTTCCGGTCGTGAACATTCTCTTTCTTGAGAGCATCATCCCTGTTTCTCTAACCTAGCATTTTACTTGTCGTAGTTAATTCGATATTCATACACTTGATCCGAATATCATGATCCCCGTGACAGATGACGACTACAAATGGTCAATATTACGAGGAAGGGTTTGGTGAAATTCAAATTGATGAAGACCACGGTCTTACGTTTTATGATCCTGTGATGATCTTATGCGTAAACGTTTTAGTTTTCTGTGCGATATGAATGTTGATATATCTGATTATGTTCATTAGTGTACCAAATATTTTCCTTGCCACAACTTTGAGGACGTGACATTACTTGGTTTTGTCCTGGAGTCGTCGACGAGCAAAAGACGCCTACCCTTCCGAAACACCTGGTTTTACTACTTGTACTTTCCAAATATTTACATATGAATTCTTCCTTTTTCATATTTTGTAGTTTTTTGTGGGTTTTTTTAGTTTAATTTACTGATAAACAATTTTGAGTTTGAATTGTGTTTTGTTTACACTTTTGTATTATCTTGCTTTCATTATAAATGTGTGTGATGTATGGGTTGGGGAAGTGATCTTCGAAGTGTACCTTTTGTTACTTACCTGTGAGGAAAAGGCCTGGTATATCCGTTTCCGCCCTTAGATGGACAGCTGCTGGTGGCGAAAATCGTTCTACGCTATGTTCAAGACCATACATTTCTCCTTCAGGAGAACCTAGGTAGTGAGCATTACTCAGAGGGGTACCCATCTCAATAAACTCGTCCTATATGAATAAAATAAGTTACATAATTACAATGGTTAAACAATTGCAAGATGACCAAAGTGTTAGTCATAGCTAGTAAGTACTGAATTACAACAAGGACGGACAGGACAGCAAACCAGCATGAAAGACAAAGTGAAGCACCACACCAAACTGGAGCCGGAATCCATGCGCTAGGAAGCGGTGAGCATCCATTGCAGCACCTGTCATTGGTTTCTGTCAAATCCAGGAAAAGAATAAAATTCGTCTGTGATCAAAGACACTGTGAATACGACATAAAACATGAGCACACTTAAACCTCACTCAACTGAGAAACAAGGATGTTCTCAACTGGGATAGTCTTGCACGGGGAATATGTGACCCAAAAAAAAAAAGAGTGCACATATTCCTCGGTGACATGTGAACGGAAATTCCGTCTTTGCATATTGCAGAGTTATCTTCTCTTTGTAGCAGGTATTGATTGTTACGTCATTGGTTTGTGTGAGAACATTACGTCGTTTTCTCAAAAATTGATGACGTTACTCTCACAAACAAGTAACGTAACAATCAATCCCTGCTCCCAAGAGAAGATAACTCTGCAATACGCAAAGACGGAATACCAAAGTTGTTCGGAACTTGACAAGGACTTGAGATAACCGGGGTTTGCTATTTATCTGAGAGCATGATTATAAATTTTGACTTAACAAAGAGTTTATCATTTATCCTGTTTATTGTGCCAGCTTGCATGCTTCATCTAAAATATCATCAGCAGTAATGGAAACGAAATCATGGGTTTCGCATTTGTGAGATACGGTTACTCCCAAAATGCATATAAAAAATCTTTGAACCGTAAAATAGAATCGTTTGATATTTCTGTAGATCAAAATAACAATTGGTTTCTCTTTGATATTTTAAAGAACGCAAATATATGATTGACGAAGTCTTATCTATATATAAAACCTTATACAACCTGTGTCAAAGACATTCTGGCCCAAGTTACTCAAACGTTGGTAAAAGGTAACCATGGTTAGGGAAAATTTGCTAAAATGTTCATTATTTATATTTACATTTTCAGTAAAGGAGTGACGCTTTTTTTTTAGTTATTTCGAACAGTTTTGTACAGCAAATTGAGTCATGATAACAATGAAATTGATGACGTCAAAATGGAGATTAATGATAATAGCAACATTTGCCTTCTCAATGCATTGCAATGGAGCAAATGTATATATTTTACTATGGAAGCCCTTGTTTGTTATTGCCACCAATCGTATTATTTTTTACTGACTACTGGTAAACGTAAACCAACAGAGGTCTGGTTGCTCGGCTACTTGCCTTGCCTTCTAACAAAGGGTTAATCTTGATAAGTTGGTTCCACATTTGTCTGCCAATGGCGTTCTTTAGATCTTTATACTCGTCATCCCTCCGCTTTACTCTCTGTTCTTTCCATTGCATGAACCATTCGGATTTGGCTAGAGTGATGATTAAGCACGTGCTTTTCCCTACAAAGAAAATCATTCATTTTTATCAGTAACATAAGAAAGGGTAAAACACTAATAGCTCTGTGACAATTTAGTGTTGTTATTTGTGTCTTCAGAGGTTGTAGCATTAGCTATACTTTTGAATCCGGTTCTAAATGTTTTGAAAATAAGTGAAAGACGTTATGTTTACTGGGAAATATACAATGTATATTGTGAAATCACATTATAAGACTTCTTCGACAATTCTGATATCGGCTACCGATTTCACTCAATTCAAGATAAGATCAATTAAAAACTTCCTATTAAACTAAAAAGATGAACTTTCCTACCTACCATGTAAATAGCTAAACCCATAGTTAAGAACTATTCTCTATTTCTTTTTTGTAATTCGTATGTTTGTTTGATTGTTTGTTTGTTTAGGGTAACAAACAGAAAGTTAAAAGAAACAAAAGAAGATAGGAAACAAAAAAGATTCCTAGTTAACAAAAAAGATCGCAAGTGTTGCAAAGGGAGCAGCATATCAATAGTGGTCTCTTCCATGTCCCCTTCGTAGAAAACGAGTAAAACCCAATTATACAGGAGGCCCCACATGTGTCGCCTTTGTTGGTACACATGCAGTGAGACACAGCAGGTCTATTGTTGATTTTTCAATGTCCCCTAATAAGAAAACATAGAAGAATCCACGCCCGATCTACCTGTGGGCGCATTAGTCGCATCTAACGATCACGCAGTGGGACACACTAGGGGTTCACTTTTGTTAAACGCTTCTAAATTCTTGAAATCATGCGTTAGATTACCTGGATTTCGCTTTTCCCATGATGGATCCTTGGCAGATGGAAACGAGGCAAACATGAGTGGGATTTGATAGCCGTGAAGTTCCTCCGCAGAAAGGGCGAGGTATTCATTCATGGCTTGTTCTTGGTCAGTTCTACAGGATTTATAATGTTCCGTTTAAGGATAAAGACCTACAGTTATTGTAAAAATGTCGCTTGAAACTTTATTTAACGATTACACCAGGATGTCGACAGAAACGTTCGCTTACATAAACAGGCAGAATAAAATATATATTACTACACGCTGTAGTTGTAATTATAAACAGCCTCAAAATATCAAAATAGATCAAAATATTACATCATTTTATCATGGAATGGGTTTTTGTTTGCTCTATTAAAGAAAGGCTTCAGCAAAATGATCTCATATTTTTCTGCATCAAGGTGTTTCTCTTAAGCAACAAATTTCATAATAATATTTCTTAGAAAAGCTTAACTTTTCACCTTATATATCTAAGGGATTACCAGTATTAGTTTAGAAGTAACATGTGCAGTTTGCAAAAATTCGTGATTCGAGTTATGCGCGAAATTCCGTCATAACATAATAGCCACAAAAAATCTTGGTTATCCTTAATATCGGATTTAAATGACAGGTGCAAACATGTAGTTGATCAAAATTAATTCATTTCGGATAAAAACAAAAACAATTTTGCACAAAACGCAACATGAAGCTATAACTTCATAGGCGACCAATGTCTACTACACATTAGTTAGAATTACAAATATGGCACCAAAGTGTTGGGATAGATACATGACGTCAGCACTTCAGTGCTTCTTTTATTTAAAAATGCTATTATTTTGGAATAGCCAAAAAAAATGAAACACCCATGGTCATGAACTGTTGTAGATTTTCACATTATTATTGCAATAATCTACTATAGCTTAACAGATCACATGTACCATTGACCGTTTAAAACAATGAGAGCGCTAAAATACCACGTTTATAGAATACGAAAATCATAACAAAATACCTGGTAAATGTCCACATATTGTGTGCCTTGAGACCTAGCTCCTCCTTGGTACCCTTCAAACCGATGAATGCCGTTAGGAAGGAAAGACTGTTCCCTACCTGTTTGATCATAGGATATAAACCTGCAAGACAAATTATGATTAAGATTGATTTTTAGTTCTCCTCAGTGCGTTTATTTGTTATAATATAACGTCTACACGATGCCTTATCGTTTTATTTATTATTCGTTTAACAAACAAACAAAATGTTATACTCCATCATTGACCGATGTGTTCTAGTATTGACAGTATATACTCCATCATTGACCGATGTGTCCTAGTATTGACAGTTTATACTCCATCATTGACCGATGTGTTCTAGTATTGACAGTATATACTCCATCATTGACTGATGTGTCCTAGTATTGACAGTTTATACTCCATCAATGACCGATGTGTTCTAGTATTGACAGTATATACGCCAACATTGACCGATGTGTCCTAGTATTGACAGTATATACTCCATCATTGACCGATGTGTTCTAGTAGTGACAGTATATCCTCCATCACTGACCGATGTGTTCTTGTATTGACAGTATCTACTCAATTATTGACTGATGTGTTCTAGTATCGACAGTATATACTCCGGGGGTGACCGATGTGTTCTACTATTGACAGTATATACGGCAACATTGACCGATGTGTCCTAATATTGACAGTATATACGCCATCATTGACCGATGCGTTCTAGTATTGACAGCATATACTCCATCATTAGCCGATGTGGTCTAGTATTGACAGTTTATACTCCATCATTGCCCGATGTGTTCTAGTATTGACAGGATATACTCCATCATTGACTGATGTGCCCTAGTATTGACAGTTTATACTCCTTCAATGACCGATGTGTTCTCGTATTGACAGTATATCCTCTATCATTGACCGATGTCTTCTAGTATTGACAGTATATACTCCATCATTGACCGATGTGTTCTTGTATTGACAGTATATACTCAATTATTGACTGATGTGTTCTAGTATTGACAGTATATACTCCATCATTGACCGATGTGTTCTAGTATTGACAGTTTATACTCCATTATTGACTGATGTGTTCTAGCATTGACAGTATACTCCATCATTGACCGATGTGTTCTAGAATTGACAGTATATACTCCATTATTGACTGATGTGTTCTAGTATTGACAGTTTATACTCCATTATTGACTGATGTGTTCTAGTATTGACAGTATACTCCATCATTGACCGATGTGTTCTAGTATTGACAGTATATACTCCATCATTGACTGATGTGTCCAAGTATTGACAGTATATACTCCATCATTGACTGATGTGTCCAAGTATTGACAGTATATACTCCATCATTGACTGATGTGTCCTAGTATTGACAGTTTATACTCCATCATTGGCCGATGTGTTCTAGTATTGACAGTATAAACTCCATTATTGACTGATGTGTTCTAGTATTGCCAGTATATACTCCATCATTGACCGATGTGTCCTAGTATTGACGGTATATACTCCATCATTGACCGATGTGTCCTAGTATTGACAGTATATACTCCATCATTGACTGATGTGTCCAAGTATTGACAGTATATACTCCATCATTGACCTATGTGTTCTAGTATTGACAGTATATACTCCATTATGGACTGATGTGTTCTAGTATTGACAGTATATACGCCAACATTGACCGATGTGTCCTAGTATTGACAGTATATACTCCATCAATGACCGATGTGTTCTAGTAGTGACAGTATATACTCCATCATTGACCGATGTGTTCTAGTATTGACAGTATATAGTGTACACCCATCCGTTTAGCCAGAACCAGGAAAGCGACCAGGAAATTCATAACTAATGATAAAATCAGGCAAAGAAATGCAACTTTTTTGGCGGGTATGACGTTAATTCATTGAAACGTTTTTTTCAGAAAGATGAACGCAAGACATACACATGTGTATTATAATTCAGTTTGGTAAGATACAGTATGCCAAAATTGAGTTACACCTCATCATACAGGTTTCATATTGAGTTACACCTCATCATACACGTTTCGTATTGAGTTACACCTCATCATACAGGTTTCGTCCTTCTAGGGACCATCGGTGATGCTAAGGGCCAAAAAGTGGAAATTTAAATTGGTGTAAAACGCCACAGATTTCGTCAGTTGGACGAACAGTTGGACATTAACACACAGTTTGCAAAAATATTTTCTCTATCATTTCTTGAGAGAACTATAACACGAAATATTCGTGGGTATTTTTTTCCCTGCTTTGAAGCATTTAAGATCGTTTTGTACAAACTTTCATGGAAATCCTTTAATAGTAGATACATATATCATTCAAATTAGTTGTATTTATTTTCGTGGTGCAATAGAAACCACGAAAACCACGAATGTTTATATACAACGAATATTTAATGTTATCCAGTACTTACATGGTCTCTTGAGTGCTGCCCTTAATCACAGATATTTAACACATACTGAATCCTACACAGCTGCTTTGTTGGTCAATAGGTCAAAATTGCTACCCGTATAATACAGGGTTCCTGCAACCATTTAGCGTTCTGCTTTTTTTGTAAAATAGCAGTTTCTTTGATACCTCAAGAAAGCGATTTGTGTTTCTAAAAACGGTCATTGAATTCTTCCATTTGGATCATTTTCAGCACACTTTTTGAGAAATCACGCATCCTGTTGGCGTGAGAGTTCTTTCAAAACTTGAATACTTCTTTTTACTATTAAGTAAATTGTTTGTTTGTTTATGTTTAACGGCCCATCGACAGCTGTGGTCATTTAATAAGTAAATCTAATAAGTAGGTGGAGAGATAATCTGTGGTAAAAACTTATTTTTACAAACTCAGACATTAAATTTTCCATCGGTTTGGTATATTCCTGCTTTAAGGATCCTCGCACCGGTGCAAAATTTGCAACTGTGAATATGGAAACATCTAACCTACGTGACAAAAGCTTAAATAGATAATTTCTGAAAAGAAACTCACTTCTTGCGTGATAACAATAAAGATGAAATGAACAACAGAATTTTTAAAACTGTGTTCTGAGAACAAAAAAGGCAATGGGTCGTCGCCGAATTCTGGATCCCCTAAAACAATAAGGTCGCTCTAACTACTTGAACTACTGATAAGCGGTCGTCCCTGGGTCCAGCCCCACTGGATTTACAAAACAAAATAAAGAGATGGTTACTGATGTATGAAAAACTACATTGCAATTCTCTAGTGTTTTGGTTCCAGTGAAACAGGGATCCTTAAGGCATTACGTGTAAAACATATCGTGCATCATACATTGATAAATGTGATGTTCCTACAGAACTTTTATATTGTAAAAATGAAATTCTCCTCACATGATTTTGAAGCAATTTCCTTGGGCAGGAGCTTGAAGAATGTGTTGAATAACCCTGCATCTGATATAACTCGTTTGGCGTATATTTGTATAGTGGCCTCCTTCGTCTGGACTTCTACACCTGTATTAAAATCCACGGAAAGATAGTATTAATATCTTACCTAAACAGCTGTAACATTCCAAACATGATTTATCGTAGATTTATATAGACGATGTTGTTAGTGAAGCAGAAGACGCTTACCTCCCGGAACACCTGGTCTTATTCTTTTGGAACACTTTCAATTGTCTCAATATAACCTGCCCTATTTTTTTAACATGAGTTATAATTACGGTTTTATTGTCACTACGGTATTTTCTTGTATTTTTTCATAATTATCGTATTTTTCACACCTGTAAGTAGCACATGTATAGGAGTAAATAAAAACATTGTATTCTACAACTCTCTATATCGACGGTTCATGTTGCATAACTTTACGATATAGCTACCTAGTAAATTAGACAAGAGTAAAATTCAATTTTCGAAACACCAAAACCTGTCTTTATTGGACGTTTACTGTTCGGAAGAATATATAATGGAGTGCGCTTAGCGCTCAAATAGTTATGTATATCCGCTGCAAACAAGGAGTGTTGTTGCTTTATTACAAAACTATGTTTAAACTGTTTATGCATGATATATTGTCTGTTCAATTATGGTAATCATGAATTTTGAAACCGAACAACGGTAGAACGGCAGACGTCGGTGATGAAATAATGGGTCATCAAAATTGAAATCGTAAATGCGAAAAACGGAACCTTGCAAGTCTATTGGGTGTTTTTAATATTGGCCAATTTATGTGACATAAGTCATATCAGCAAAATAAAAAAATAAAAAAAAATAAAACGTTTAATTCTTATAAATTTAAAAGCAATATCTATTTTATCTATGTAATTTTTCTATCTTTTTGAAGATTTTTTTTTTTAAGAAAGACCAATATTGTACCATGTGCGTGTCCAGAAGAGTCCATCAGTATCTTGTTTACGGGTGCCTTCACCAGCACCTGACCCCCAGCGCCCTCTATAATTGGGATGGTATGGAACACAACTTCACTTGAACCGCCCCGGATGTAGTAGGCGCCATCTAGGTAGTGATTCAATATCATTGCGTGCAGACCGAAGGAAGATTCGGACGGCACAATGCCTGCAAATAAAATTACCAATGTTATTCTTGACAAACAATGCAGAAACACTGACATATGTATGTATACATACATAGTTTTCGATGTGTATTACTCTACTTTGCTAAAACATCAATTAAAATAGTATCAAACAGCACAGGCACGGGGATTTACACAGTGCGAATGCTGTCCAGACCAGTTTTAAGTATATATCTATAATGGTAAGAGGAAGCTTGTAGAAATCACTAATTGGAATATAATTCAAGTCTATGATATAATCTGATATACTACAATTATGAAATATCACGTAGATTTGAAGCTTAAATCCAGAAAGGAGCAAGAGGCCCAATGGGCCTGCATCGCTCACTTGGTATTAATCTCACACATGTAACCTTAAAAGTGATATAAAGTAAATCTATAGACAAAATATCAGTACTTATGACAATAAATCATTCAAAAGAACCTGTTAAAAGATGTTAAAACATTTGACCCCTGTGACCTTGAAAGTCAAACAAGGTCATTACAATGAATACACTTTATAGTCCTTCATCTTAGGATGCAACCTGACAAATAGCACTACCCTTGACCTTTTCTTTAGTGAGATTAGGTCATTTAAAGGTGTATACATATTTGACCAATGTGCCCTTGAACGAAAGTCAAGGTCATTTAAATGAACAAGCTTGATCGCCCTTCATCCAAACATGCTACTGGGCAAACATTAACACCCTGGGCCTCATGGTTATTCAGAAAAAGTCGTTTGAACATTTTTAACAAATTTGACCCCTGTGTCCTTGAATATAAGTCAAGGTCATTCATTTTAACAAACTTGGTAGCCCTTTATCAAACATGCTACGGACCAGATATGAACATTCTAGGCCTTATGGTTAATAAAAAGAAATCGTTTAAAGATTTTAAACATATTTGACCCCTTTGACCTTAAATAAAGGTCAATATCATTCATGTTAACAAAGTTGGTAGCCCTTTTTCCCATCATGTTACGGGCCAAAAATCATCATTGTGTGCCTTTTGGTGGAGAAGTCGTTTCAAGGTTTCAAACATATTTGACCCCTGTGACCATGAATATAAGTCGAAGTCATTCATTTGAACAAACTTTGAAGCGGTTTTTTCCTGCATGTTACTGGTCAAATATCAACATCATAGGCCTCTTGGTTATTCAAAAGAGGTCATTTTACTAAGTCAAGGTAATTCATTTGGACAAACTTGGTTGCCCATTATCAAAGCATGATTCTTGCTAAATATCATCATCCTGGGCTGTTTGGTTGTTCAGAAGAAGTTGTTGAAAGATTGTAAACATATTGATCCCTTGGACCATGAATATATGGCAAGGTCATTCATTTGAAACAACTTCGAAGCGTTTTATCCCAGCATGATACTGGCCAAATATCAGCACCCTAGACCTTCTGGTTGATCAGAAGATGTTGTTTGAAAGTTTTAAACTTATTTGATCCCCTGTGACCTTGAATATAAGTCAAGGTCATTCAATTGAACAAACTTGGTAACCCTTTATTCCTGCATATCCCTCACCAAATATCATCACTGGGGGCCTTCTGGTTATTCAGAAGAAGTTGTTGAAAGATTTTAACATATTTGACCCCTGTGACCTTAAAAATTGGCAAAGTTCATTATTTTAAACAAATTTGGTAGCCCTTCATCATAGCATGCCTCTGGCCAAATAGCATCCCCTTGACCTCTTGGTTATTGAGAAGAAGTTGTTTAAAGTAAAAAATTGACGCCGGACGGACGACGGACACCGCACCACGGCATAAGCTCACTTTGCCCTTCGGGCCAGGTAAGCTAAAAATGAAAATAACCGCTAATCTTCCAGGCAAGACTGGATAACAGGTTTTTTTGCAAGAAATAGATGGTTCCTATATCGTTCGGTTGAGACAAATTTCATTGTGAAAATATATAGTGCATGTAAAACCAGCCTTAATCAAACTCGGATATCCCTTATAGTGAACAGATTGCATTTCCCCAGCCGTGTCCTTATATCTACTAGAGGCAATCTTACATACATAGGTTTTCCTCGGGTACTCCGGTGTTCGCCAACATAAACATCCCCGCGCATGAACACCAGGGCGCACGAGAGTGATTACAAGAAAGGACGAGTGCCAATCAGGGCCTTCTGGTGGCTATCACCGATAAGTTTCATTTTTTCTCGAAATGGTCTCCTGGTTGACCTTAATTGCATGTCACATCATGATGGCATAAACCCAAGGTATGTAGATAGCCACAATATGGTCCAATCGGGATCCAACTTGTTTCATATTTAAATTCTCCCGCTATAATTTAACAATATACACTCACCATATTTTACAATATACACCCACCATAACTTTACAAAATTCACCCACCATAATTTTTTCAAAATTTACCCACCATTATTTAACAAAATTCACCCACCATAATTTACAAACTTTACCCACCATTATTTTACAAAATTCACTCACCATAATCGCCAAAGATATAGGTGATAACAGCTTTCAGTTCTTGATTTTCCGTACATCGTTCCAGTATTTCTTTTGTTGTTACAGACAAGTACTTTGAATAGGATTTAAACAACTTGTTGTAAATTCCCGTAAAAGTCAAAATTCCTATAATCCATTTCGGTAAAAACTTGAGCACGAAATAACCATCCATGAATCCTTCACAATCCTAAATAAAACACACAAAAACAGCTAGTAGTTTTTTTTAGAGAAAGGCACGAAATAACCGTCCTTGAATCCTTCACAATCCTAAATAAAATACACAAAAACAGAAAATAGTTTGTTTTAGAATTGCGTATTTTTTTAAAATTTATATTCTGTTCTTAATTTTGCTACAGTTCTACTAATTTACGGTGAAAGACAAGCAATTTTCATCTATATACTACTTTATACGACCTACCGGTAGCATGATAAATTCATTAGCATTGGCTGTAAGTATGAGAAGAAGTTTAAAACGATTTGAGAACAACTTGAGAACGGATTTTCCCAAAAAACGTCTGCTCGCGCCAGATGACGTCCGAACCCGGAAATAGTGTCCATAAAAAAAGTGATCCGCGTAAGAAAATAGTCTGTCATAAACATAACAGTACAAAGTTACGGGAAAATATTGTGAGAATAACAATACCATTTCAGGTGTAAATGTGCATATGGAAAAGCCAACGACGATAGGATTGTTTTAAAAATATTTTTCTACGTAGTTTTGAGGTTCATTGTATTCCTCCGCGCAAAACTTCCATTTGTTTACGTTTGTCACAGGCGATCGTCGACCATTGAGCTAAGAAGTCATTTGGAAAACATGGTGTTCAGTTGAGGTTTTTTTTTAAAGGAGAAATATATCAGGTAGTAGTATATAGATGATAAATCGTTTATCCTACAGTATTTTCAGTGTTTGTCGTTCGAACAATTTTCTCGCACGTAGATAAAATCTGGAGTTTATCAACGTGCTCGCGATGAGAAAATACATTGTGATTATCTATAAATATCGGCATTTTTACCTTTGTCTTACTAAAGTTCATGACCATATACTTTGAACTGACTATGAATGATAAACAAGTAACAGTGTTTTACCTTTTACTTTTAGTAAATTTTGTGAACATATTTTCCATCTTAACCAGGATATATTAAGATATCTCAAATTAATGATGAGGACTTATTAATCCTTATATCAATGTCAATATCAATATTTTGAATACTTTGTCTTTGAATTCACGATCGATTTAATATGTAAATACACTGGAAAGTTATATTGTTTTTCTTAACACACACACACACACATTGGTAAGTCTAGTAAAATGAACTGACAATCGTAAACTAAAACACCAGTAATACTAAAATTATTCAAAGTACTTCGTGACCGAAGGGTTGCGGGTTCGAGTCACGTCACGGCACTGTGTTGTATCTTGTCCAGTTTACTCAGCTGTAAATGTGAACGTGATTGGGTAGTGCTTTAATTGTTGATTGCTAGTTGTGTGCGCCGCAATGGCAACACCGGCTGTATGCTCCCTAGGGAGTTGAGAAAGATATTGGCTGGTTGCAAAGGCCCTATAACCACGGATAATAATTTGTGAACCGCTTTGAGACGACCTACGAACTAAGTTGTGATACAGCGGTATATAAGAACCTCGAATTATTATTATTTTTATTATTATTCAGCATCTCAAAAGTTGGAAATATATCATTATTAACAGGGTATAAAAGTTAACATCAGCATGCATAGTATTTTAATAACGAATACCTTGAAATACTGCATCAGCTTCAATATTCCCTCCTCCTCTTCCGGGAATCTCTTAATAAGACTAGCCTGGAGTTTCTTTCTGTCGGAAACAATATCATACACCCTGGCATTTTCAGGGTCGCCCAAGCACACCTATACAACAGAAAAATAAGGACAAACATTTAATTGATATTGGTGACTAGAAAGTGGCACGCAGACTTGGGTTAACAACCATGATATAGAAAGATCACCTTGTTCATAAATCACCTCCCTAGGTTGACCGTAACCACGGTTGTTTAAGGTTTCACCACGTTCTCAAAGCAACAAATATCAATATATGACGACGACTTTATAGGGACGCACGACCTAAAGAAAGATTAAATAAGGAATGAATGAAAAGAAATACCTCAAGTGTTGCAATGACGGCAGTAGACAAATTACCGTCTCTTCAATATAGACATCATAGAACACAAGATATTTTAACATTTCTAAAACGGTGCTTAAGATATTGTTGTTTGAAATTTGAAATTTAAAGCTTTTAACCCACGTTGACCTTTGACTCCAGGTAGCACTTAAAGTTGACCTTTGACATTTGCCATTACTGTAATAAAAAACCGATTCGCACAGCTGGTCTACATAACATACCCAAGCATCATAGTATCATGACTCTAGATCAAATGGTTCCAAAGATATTGTTGTTTGAGGTTTTTAACATATTTGACCCCTGTGACCTTGAAACTAGGTCAATGTCATTTTAATGAGGAAACCTTATAGCACTCCATCCCAGGTACCTACTGGCCAAATATCATGACCCTAGGTCCTCCAGTTCTTCAGATTAAGTCGTTCAAATGAAAAAGTTGACGGACGGACGCCGGACGACGGACGCTGCAGAACGGCATATGCTCACACGGCCCTTTGGACCAGGTGAGCTAACAATGCTGTAATGATCTATGTTGAATCCGTAAGTTGACTTGCCAGAACTCTATACTAGTGAAACAAGAAGAAAAAATGATGCTCAAGATAGGAGTTTTGTGGTCTATTTGTAATTTCCCTACGTTTTTCGACCTGCTATGGACAAAGGAAAATTGTGCATGAAGTGATTAGATGCAGCACACCATTTCCTAATGAATAAACATAATGAGCTGTTACATCGCTACGTCATAATAGTGATGACATTACAGAAATTGTTAATGGCCCATATTACCGAGTTCTGATAATACCGTACTTTCTGTAAATATGGCTATTGTATGTTATCTGGAATATCTTTATTTGCCATTTGTTATTGTGTTAAAGGGTTGTACAATTATACATAGTCCAAGTTTCTACCCCCGTGAACTTGTCCGACCGTTTTCTCAGAAACTGAAAGTCGGGCTCCAATTGAAACTAAGCATGAGTATTGGAGTTTGCCAAATCGCGGAAGAAACATTTTTTATGCAGCTGTGGATCCAAGATAGCAACTTTGCCAATTGATGGTGCCAGGTTTTGGTGGTGGAGAAAAACCGGAGTGCCAGGAGAAATGCCACCGACCTGTGGAGGTTACCTGGAACCCGCCACACGTAGGCCTCAAACCCGTGAGTCAGTGGTGTAAGGAAACATGTTATGCTATACCTCATAAAATTCTTATTTCAATTAAACACTGGATCCCTCTATCGAACGAGATGGTAGATTATACAAGCTCTTATGACCTTTGACAGGTAAGGCTGGATAAACATTGGAAAGAAAACCAAATTTACTTTTTACTACAATACAAAAATAGCGAGATATGCCAACACTTGTGTGCACGTGACTGATGCCGATGTGCTACAATCTGCAGAACAGCTTAATATAGAGGTCTAAGGCCTGTGTACTGGTTGTGTTAATTTCTTTTGTCGTATGCACACTCACAGAGACAAACAGACGAAGTGAAATGAGGTACTTAAGAAGATAAGACATATATGTATTGCATATGACAACCAGTATAATATGCAAATTAGCATATGCTAATAACATTTTAAGGTACGGTGCAAAACTGTAGTGATGGAAGCACTGAATAATCTTAGCCGGAAATCATTGTAATTATGATGCTTTCCATTAAATTCCTCAGCGTAGAGCGGTGCTATTCCGGTAGAAAACTGGTTTGATGTGTCGTCAACACGACACTAAGTTTTCAAATCGCTAATAGTAGTTTTTTAGAAGTTTTATCCATTTTTTTGCTCACATGACACCAACATGTGGAAACGGTATATTTATATATACAATGTATATGTGTATCCATTATTTATATCAGAGCAATTATCAAACAAGTTATTTCAACTTATATTAATAAATTTTGTTGCCCCGGGTGTTTGCGCGCGGGGGTTCTTCATGTGGGAGGAAATCGGAATACCTGGAGAAAAAACCCATGTATACTAAGATCTATACGGTAAGTTTAGCCGCACTGTACCTCGGAGAGTAAAGGACATTGCCCTCAGCTATTAAAACTTGTCCATATGACGTCAATAAATTGAGGTTCACCTTAAAAGTACACTGATAACATTAAAGTACACTGATAAAATTAAAGGACAATGATTAAAGTACAATGATAACATTAAAGTACACTGATAACATTAAAGGACAATGATAACATTAAAGTACATTGATAACACTTAAAACATTAAAGTACAATGATAACATTAAAGTGCATTTAGCAGTGTATATGTGTTACTTTTATCGGGACAATATTTATCAATTAAGAGAACATTTCATTATTGTAGTGAAACTTTCCTAAATCATAAATTATAAGGTACTTGGATAGCAAACAAAGACATTTCGCAATTATTTGTCAATGATTTTACCGGAATACATTTTCCTGTCCAAACCCAATGGGAAACACCGAGTACGTGTCCGTGATGTCACATTTTTTAATTGAATGACATCATCTTATTGGGAGAACCAATCATTATTTAACAACGAAACAGGTACTTTTAGTGGAGGGAGAAGAAACGTCATCCCCCAGTTTAAGTTTAAGAGCAACGCGGTCACACTACTGGACTTGTTGCAAATCGATCATTTCGACACTGGTTGTCTTTTTTAACATTGATTCTTCAGAATTTCCTGTAGTTTGGTGAATATTGCATGACCAATAAAAAAACAAACATTATCGTCTGCTGTTTAAGACGGACGCTGTGCAAACGCATCAGCTGAAACACGAACCATCGAACGGACAGGGAGATCAAACCCAAGATCTCTGTAGAACCTTTCCAGCTATCTTTTTCATCCAAAATGGAGAATGCAAAAGTCACCACGTAACTTTTGTTATCAACATTTAAAAAAGAAGCACACATCCAGAAACATCTGATTTCGACGCTTAATAAACCTGCTCCCTCTCCCAAAAGCAAGATGACATCATTACAAAAGTACATTTCAATTATAACAAGGTAAGTATGTAACCTCATTCATACTCAAATCATATTTTCAACAGTAAATAAGATGTTATAAATACGCCCCTCCCATTCCACCTTCCAAAGGTGACAAAAGAAAAACATGGAGCCCAACGGTCAAGTATCATTCGCTTAAGTGTTAACACATGTTATAAGCTAAAATGCCACATATTTAACCTTCAAAGTGGGTAGGAGTGAATGTTAATAAATATGATACCAAGCAAGCTACCACTATATGCTAAATATTATGGAAGGATTTAGCTGAATGGTTAACACTACCAGCCTTCTTTGGTAGTCCCTTTCTCCTGCCCATTTGAAGTCTATAACGAAGTTCGAGTATGTAAAAAGGATCAGGGTTGGTTTATGTAGTGTCTTTACTTTAACATTCAAGTGATGTGACACTATGAGGGAGGAAAGACGTGGTTGGAAGCAGAGTTCTATATCAAAACAGAACACTTGGTATGCCTCCACACACATGCGGATACGCAAACGTGGAGGTACCTAACAAGGTGACATAGGTCCAGTAGTTATTGACTGATAATGTGAAATCCTTAATTGTACAAACTGTGGTAACTGATAGTATGAATTGTTAAGCTTGCATCTGATGGATATTTAGAAGATGTCGTTGAAATGTTTTTACATAAATGATATTTCTCACATTCCTTTTGATCGTTTTAGAACGGAAAAAGGACTATGAGATAATATGTCGACTTACCAAACCTGGGTATTTGATATTTTAGACCACTGTTAGAGATTAAAATGTACGGTCTTGCAAGGCTTGGCATTTTAATACGTGTAAACTATATATAACGTTTATATAACATACCGTGTCAAATGCTTCGTCCATTGGAGGATACTCGATCCCACCTCCGGTAATCTGGTCTATCAGAACACGATCAACTGATCCGGGGGCCATGTTCCCCACGTAGTGGATTCCTACAAGGTTAGACGTACACCGTAAGATAGTGTAGGACACAGACCATACTACCTTGGATACTGTACATGCGACTCCCGTTAGAGTTATCGCCCTTCACAAAAAATATACTGCGTGCGAAGCGATGCGGTTTGAATTACTTCATACATGTATTTGAATTAAAACACGGCATTCACAATCAAAAACACACTAATTGCATTCAAAAACATAGCAATTTCATTCATAACATAGGATTATTTAAATACTATAATTACATTTGTTTAAAAAGAAATCAAAAACAAAATTAACAAAAAATAAAATTGTATCCCGATCCAAGCCCAACACCGATCAAAATCATGAACTTGTAAGACAAAGTTTGAATAAGCCTCGCGACATGTTTGTACCAACAAGAAGTCCCCATTGTAAGTAGAAGTACTTTTATCAGGTGTAATGCATATTTAACCACCAAATCTCTTTTAAACACAATTATTAAAAAGTACCCGTATCGAATTCGTAGCCTTTCTCATTGAAGGTGTGACAGGAGCCTCCAGCTCTCCCGTGCTGCTCCAAGACGAGGACTTTGTGTCCGGCTCGGGAGAGGAGTGATGCTACACCTAGTCCTCCGAAACCGCTCCCAATGACAATATCATCAATGTTCTCCGGAACCTTAGCGACACTGAACTCTAGAACAAAGGATACAGACAATTTAGTGCACTATTATATCCGTACATAACTGCAAAGATTTTTGGTGGTAGATTAACTAAATCGTGCAAAGTAGGAGCTCAGATTTTCCCTCCCACTTTCAGTTTAATTTGTTAATGCTAAATTATTTGACAGAATAAAGGTACAGTGTCACGGTTTGACATAGTTATGGTAGCGCATCCTGTTTTGATAGAAGGAATGGCAAACGTCCATGTTTGTTATCTTTAGAAATGCCATGTTAGTTGAATTCGATCAATATTCCTTATGGATGTGGAGATTTAGTTCGTTGTATAGAGGTTATAATGGTTCCATTAAGCGTTGTTATGTAGATGATACACTACTAATGAAATTCTACGTAAGTGTACGGAAACTGAGGTTACACGTCAATGTCCGTACTAACGAGGTTCTTCTTTATTGTTCTCATAAACAAAGTCCCACGTCAGTGATCGAAATTACAAGTGTGTGACAGGATTAACTAAAATCTGTGTTAGTGTCCGGATTATCGAGATTCCACGTTATTTTCCGGATTAACTAGTTTCCTAGAAGAAAGTGTCCGGATTGATTAGGTTCTACTTGAGTGTCCGATTAATATAGCTAGGTTAGACGTTAATGTCCGGAATAAACAAGTTCTAAGTCACTGTAGTGTAAAACGACGTTTTACGTGTACTTTCCGGAAAAAAAGATGATTTACATGTAGTTTCCAGAATAACGAGGTTTTACGAGTAGTTTCCGGAATAACGAAATTTTAAGAGTAGTTTCCAGAATAACGATGATTTATATGTAGTTTCCGGAATAACGAGGTTTTACGAGTATTTTCCGGATTAACGAAATTTTACGTTTCGTCCGGATAACGAGGTTTTACGTGTAGTTTCCGGAATAACGAGGTCTTACTTGTAGTTCCGGAATAACGAAGTGTCACGTGTCGTCCGGGATAAAAAGATTTTTCGTGTAGTTTCCGGTCTAACGAAATGTTAGGATGTTTTAGGTAACCGGAGTAACATATTGTATGTGTCATTACTCTATATTTCAAACTTGCTAATTGCACGGAGACAGCCCATGAATATTCATGTGATCCATATGTGAAATAGCTAGACATGACATGACACACGTACGGTGCATCTGATACATGTTAAACTCCACCAAGACCTATCGTAATTCAAATCACGTGCACCATCACCTGTCGGCAATTTCGCAGTGTAATAAGATACATATTGTGTAACAGGTGCGTCATTGTTGAAAGAGTAATAACTCTGTCCTGCGCTCTTTTGCATATATTTTATATCGAGAGCGTAATGGTCATGATTTTGAATGTATATGCAGAGGCTCATTATAAACCCAAGAGCAGCTCAGAGAAATGACTCTCTCAAGGTTCCCTACTAATGGTGAAAGGACTTGAACGCTCGATAAAGCAATAAGTAATACTACAGTATTTGGCTCTAGTACTCATGATTTATTCCCTTATACTAAGTATGATGGCAAATAACATGACACATCTTATACAAAGGTAAATGTGCCTTATTATTTGATACGTAAATAAAATGACTCGCACAAACTATCCCACACATTCTCGACACTCCGGGGGATATGCTCACTTTTGCTCTCTGCACCCGTGGGATATGTCAAAGCAAAATTGAAGGCTCAGTGTGAGACACCTTGTGGATGAGACAAAAAGACTAGTTTGATAATTTTGATGTATATCAAAAGAATCTCGCGGTCGCGTAACGGTAAAAATTGACTGGCTTTGAGATCGGGTGTCGCTCCTTTGCAATCTTCAAAGGACAGGTATCAGCCTAGCGATTGGTCAGGTTTTTTCTTACCCGAGACCAATCAAACATCTATATTTGTGCCTTCAATTTTGCTATGACTAATTTAATAAGCATTTTCCCGTAGATCAACTAGAAATGTTGTTTTTGATGCAAGGAAGTTAGATGGGGTCGACATTTCGACATCTATGATCATTGGGAGTGTCATTTTTACCGAAGTCGATTTAAACCCCTTAAACATTTAAAATTACTCTGGACACCTTAGTTTAGGTCCAAATATAGCTGTAACAAATTATCAGGCCCCTGTGTTTTCAACATGACTCCCCGAAACTGTTCAGTAGTGTGTTACGGGCGACATGACCAGAGTAAGCCTATTAAACACTCCGGTCAACAGATAGATAGACAGGTATGTACACTGGGTACGCCGACGGCCAGTAATCAATAACATTGACCTTTCTCAAGTACGAGTAATGGCTGTCGTGACCTTGATCTATAATATATTGATATCTGTACATAATGTTTGGAAATATAGGTCAGACGTCTGTCGATTCTTGTAAATCTAAGGGTCCCGGCCGTACCACAACCAAAAACTGTAGCTTAGTATTGGAAACGGGTTTTCCGGTATGACTATAGCTTTACTAAATCATTTCTGGAAAGAAAACCATACCTAACATGACTTTTATGAGAAATGATAAATATGAAATAAACAGAATATAATCAACAATGGGGTTCTGAGTGTAAAAACATACCACGGGGCTAGACCCTGATCTGAACCCCGAACTGGAGATTCAGCTACCTGATCGCAGAAAGGGTACTGGCCTAATTGTTCTACAGTTATATAAAAAAAACATTCAAATTTATTTTGCTTTGATTCGTTATAATGTATCATAACATATGATTTACATGGAATATTTCAAAATGTATATATAGTGACAATGTCAATAATAATTTAGTGTATGGTACCCCGGGTATAAAAGCAGAAAATAGTTACATTCTGAATCAAGAGATATACACTTTTTTCCAGAGTTAGTCGAACATATTCATTCTTTGGCTATAAAGACTGAGATAACAGTCGGCGTGATTAAGCCAAATAGGGCATCACGATAATTCGACCGGCCGACTCGCTCGGACCGGGTTTTGCGTTGAGTGATTCGAGCCTCTGTGCGGTTAGCTGTATAACGACCGAAAAGTTTAAAACGTTTTTTCAATAATGTAGATATGCATAAACGGAGGAAGATGTTTGTTTGTGTGTTACGTCCTATTTACAGTAATAGCCATTTAAGGACGTGCCAGGTTTTGGTGGTGGAGGAAAGCCGCGGAGTTCCCGGAGAAAACCAACCGACCTACGGCCAGTACTTGGCGACTGCCTCACTTGGCCACCGCGGTCTCTATAACATACGAATACTGTGTATATATATTTCACAAAAATTACCCGACGATGACTCTAATTTCAGCGGTAGTAATATTTACATACTTTTACATGAAACTAATTTATTTAACCCTTTCACCCCTATAGGTATCTGAGTAGATCTACCATACATTCATCTGGATGAGTCCATTATGGTCTACAGTGGTGAAAGGGTTAACTTACCCGTACAAAGCAGTATAAAACGCATTACATACTCAACATCATTTTTTGTTATACTCTGTACAATTTACAAAGACTATTCGATGCTAATAGATTTTCTTTTGGTTGTACAGGGTTAAACGTAAGGTCATTTAAGGACGTGTTCCTTCCATGTATGCTCTGTCATCCTCGATATCCAGGGGTTACGCTCACTTCGCTCTCTGCAACCCTGGAATATGTCATAGCAAAATTGACGGCACGAAGATAACTGTTTGATTGGTCTCAGGTAAAAAGAACTGACCAATCGCTAGGCTGATGCCTGTCCTTTGAAGATAACAAAGGAGAGACGCCCGACTTCAAAGCCTGTCAATTGTTACCGTTACGTGACCGCGAGATTCCTTTGGTGTTCATCAAAGGATCAAACTAGTCTTCTTGTCTCATCAACAAGGCGGCACACACTGAGCCTTCAATTTTGCTATGACATATTCCATGGTCGCAGAGAGCGAAAGTAAGCGTAACCCCTGGATATCGAGGATGGTGTTATGTATGCAATTCATGTTATTGGTTTATGTGTGTATTTGTGGAAGCGGGCAGGAGACAGGGTATGTTGTGTTATTGCCTCCTTGTAAGAGCGCGGATCTGACACCGACTTCAGAGTGTTATCTCACTGAAATACCATACCAAAGGAACCCATCAAAGCATTCCGCCCGGTCACATTATACTGACAACAAGTGAACCAGTTGTTGTCATAACCTTATACTAAATGCTAAATGCTAAACAGGGAATAACACCTACCATTTTTAAGGACTTTGGTATGTCCTGGCCTGGGGACAGAAACCATTCCTTTTTTTCACCTGGGCGAAGTCAGTGATAATAATATTCTCTCGCAATTCGCTACGTAATTGTTAAGCAAGCGTTGATAACGTAACTCCAAAAACTGACTTTCAGTCTCCTTATTTTGAGCAATTTGAAAGATTTAAAAATAATCATCAACTCTTCACAAGTCGTTTTTAACTTGATTAAATCAGTTCACATTAACAATTTGTTTCTCTGATGTTCAAAACAAATAAGGCACCATGAGACGTTTTCAGATGGCAATTAGTCGTTGGTGTGAAATAACACCTTCCCGTTACAAATTAAATCATTGTATGAACTGAAAGCGTCCGCCCACCCAGGAAGCAATCGTTTACGGAACGCCAAACTAACATATATGCATATACATGCACCTATCTTCAAATAATTTAAGACGTGTGTTTACGATTTAAGAACGCCAAGCTGGGCAAATCACCTGGTAACGATAACATGTTGAATGAATTTTTCGTTAAATTTAAAGAAGTTTTTATTCCAGTTCTTTCAAAATTATTCAATGCTATTCTCGATAAAGGGGAATTCCCATCAAGTTGGTCGAAAGGTATAATTTTCCATTATTCAAAAAAGGCGACCCCAACGATACGAACAATTATAGGGGAATAACGTTAGTTAGTTGCTTGTCCAAATTATTTACAAGTGTTTTAAACAATAGATTACTAAAATGGTCGGAGCAATTTGATATTATCACTGATGCCCAATTCGGCTTTAAACCTGGTCATGGCACCAACGACGCCATATTTGTCTTGTATGGAATAATAAAAAAAGTGCTTGCTAAAAGACGCAAGCTCTACTGCAGTTTTGTTGACTATCGCAAGGCGTTTGATAGTGTGAATAGAAATAAGTTGTTTTTGAAGCTATGTAAAAGTGGTATAAGAGGTAAATTTTTGAATATTTTGAAGTCCCTTTATGAAGGGTTAAGGTCATGTGTTAGATACAAATCTGAACTATCTGATTTTTTTGCATGCACGCAAGGCTTGATGCAGGGTGAGGGGTTATCTCCCTTCCTTTACTCTTTGTATGTAAACGATTTGGAGAATGAATTTATTAATACATCATGTGATGCACTTTTTCTAAGAGATATTTCTCTGTTTTTGTTGATGTATGCTGATGATACTGTTCTTTTCTCAGAGTCAGCTTCTGGGTTACAGAAGATGTTAGATACTTTGAAACTATATAGTGATAAATGGCAATTATCTGTCAACATAGAGAAAACAAAAATCGTTGTATTCCGAAATGGTGGTAGAGTTAGTTCAAATGACAAATTCTATTTTGAAAATAATGTAATAGAAATTGTTGATAGTTTTAATTATCTTGGTGTCACGCTATACTTTAATGGTAAGTTTACTAAAACTCAACTTAATATAGCTGAACAAGGACGTAAATGTATGTATAAGATTTTGAAAATATGCAATAACTTAGCTTTAAATGTTGAATCAAAACTTAATGTGTTTGATGTCTACGTATCGCCTGTCCTTAATTACAGCTGTGAAGTGTGGGGTTTTAGCTTGGCTGATCAGATAGAAAAATTACACATTGACTTTTTAAAAAGAATCTTGTATGTTAAAAAGAATACCCCTACGTTTATGTTATACTCTGAACTTGGTCGTTTACCTCTGCAAATTACCTGGAAACTAAGAATAATTAAATATTGGTTAAAATTAACCAAGACTAATAATTGTATTCTAAAGTCATTGTATGACGACATGATTGTTTGTAATCATAATAGCTGTAACTGGCGGTGCCAAGTTAAAAACTTACTAATGTCTACAGGTTTTGGTGATGTTTGGTTAAATCAAAATGTTGTTAACGAAAAAGTATTTTTACATAATTTCAAACAACGTCTCACTGACAACTTTCTTCAATCAATGAACGAGTTTGTGGAAAACTCTTCTAAATGTTATCTGTACAAATTCTTGCTTGACTCGTTTACCTTACAATATTATTTAACAAAATCAATTCCTGTCGTTTATCTTAGGCTTATTTCCAAGTTTCGAATGTCATCCCATCGTTTACGCATAGAAGAAGGCAGATATTGTAATACCCCAAGGGCCCATAGAATTTGTCTACATTGTAACCAAAATCAAATAGAAGATGAATTTCATTTCATTTTAATTTGTCCTCTATACGCAACTTTACGTAAAAAAATTATCAAAAAATATTATTGGAACCGTCCGTCGTCCTATAAACTTGTACAGTTGCTAGCAGTTCGTAATAGGAAAGAACTTTGTCATTTAGGTAAATATTTACAATCAAGTTTACTATTACGCTCGACATAATGTGCATTGTTTAATTATCATGTGCATGCTTTTTCTTTTTATCTCCAGATAAAAACTGATTACTTCTTACTTCATTTGATTGAGATTCTTCCAATCTTTCAATCATGTACATTACTTCAATTAATCATCTCATTAATATTTTTCTTTTGTCATTTGTATTCTCATGTGCGTACAACTGTCCGCCATCTATCAAATCAGCTTGTCTTGTACAATGTAGGTTATGTTACATGTTATTCAATATTTGTGTAATGTTTTCGACACCCTTATTGTACATGTACACATTAATTACTCTGTATTATGCTGTAATGCTTATGGGCCGTAAGGCTGAACGTGAATAAACAATACAATACAATACGATTTAAGATATCATCAATTACCTTTAATTAAAGGTGCGAATTATAATTAGTTGAAGATATCTCCGATTAATTTGCACTTATCTTCAGTAAAATTGAACATGTCTCGAAGATATCATCAAATGGACTTACGATAACCTCAATCACTTGAAGATCTGTTAATGAAGATAGGTACAAATTGTTTAAGACATGGCCAATTCAATAAACGATATCTTCAATTTAACTGCATTTGTCTTTAATTTAAATAGAGATATCTTCAGATGTGCAATTAAATTGAACATAGTTTACATTCAACATCTCCTTAAATACAAATACATCTTCTGAAGATTGGTTCATTTGTTTCGTTTATTTTTTCTATCTGTTCATTGAACCTATCTTCCGATCAACTGAAGAGGAGTTAGGTTCTATTGAATTGAAGATATTTAGCATTAAATCGATAACGTTTTTTACTGAATTTAATAATCTTAAATCGAATTCAAACCAAAACTAACTGAATTGAAGATAACATCAAATATTTGAAGATAGTTGTAATTATTGGGGACTATATGTTAATAGAGGTAGGTAAAGTAACTGAGGCTTCACCTATTCGTACTTATACAAAATTATTTAAATAGCATTCAGTTGAATGTAAATTCAATTCAATTAAAGACATTTTCAATTCAATTAAAGACATTTTCAATTGAATTTCATTGATTTTCAATTGAATTGGAGAGTTGGTCGGGTAGCACAGTTGGTAACGCTCTCCTTTCACCAATGGGCCGGGGTTCGATTCCCCGGTCAGACGTGAAAGGGTATAGGTCACCTGTCCGAACACGTAAGTTTTCTCCGGGTACTCCGGTTTCCTCACCCATAAAGACCCCTGTGCGCTAACACCTTTGCAAACAAGAGTGATAAATATCAGTCATATAACTTTTTTATAATTGTTGTGAAATAACAAAAGTTTATATTATAATTGGAAACATCTTCAAATCAATTAATGATAGTTATAACTAGGTCTAACAAAAAAGAATTGATGATATCTTCAGTTGAGTTGAGTTTATCTTTGTTTCAGTTGAATAGGGGATACAATGTATTCGAGATAAGTTAAATGTCCCTTAATTGTACCTATCGTAAATTCAGTTGAAGATTGGTTAAACTAAATATATCTCAAATTAAATTGAAGATAATTTCAATAAATCGAAGATATATCTTCGATTTGATTGACGATATCTTCAATTGATAAAAAGTTGTTTAGACAGATTGAATATATCTACAATTGAATATATTTATCAATGTAAACTAGGTGTTCCGTAGCCGGTCGCAATACCGTCCCTATATCGATAGCCACACATACCGTGGAGACAGTAAACCACGCATACACTGGGGATATGATATTGTATTTAGATAAATAAATGTAGGGCGAACATGATACCGGCTACACACACACACACATACAATGTACCAACACACACACACACACATACAATGTACCAACACACACACACAAATATATCATCAACACATACATTGTTAGTCACAACTGACATCATCCATTTACTTACTATTTTTCAGTATTTTCTTTCTTGTATTTTTGTCCGTAACGAGGTCTAGGATGGGCTTCACGTGTTGTATAGAGAATGGATTCCTGCCTCTCTCCTGTTTACCTTTCCCCCACAGACAGAGGCCGAGGGCAGCGGCTAAACAGCAGGCCACACATGACACGCCGACCGGGTAAGTGGACAGACCGAGCATGTAAAACTGGACATCGGCTAGCGTGGTCATTACGGTGGACGCCATCAGCTGAGTTTTATAAATATCCCTCGAACTCGGTCGATACTAAATTAAAACTTTGACCCGGAACGAATTGAACGAACCCTGATATCACACACATACAGTACATGTATACGACTGGTTATGTAAACTTCGTCGGCTTACAATGTGTCTGGTTAGCTTCACTTGTCTCCCTTTATCGTGTGTATGGTGCGACTTGAACTTGAACCAGTGTATATGCAAATGACTGTTTGAACATGCGTTGACCGCAGTTACGTGATGATTCACATTTATTTCTGTCACGCGATACCAAGCTTGTTTCTAATATCTACCGTGGCCTAGAAGGACCGGCAAAATAAATGTATGAATTCGACCTTCCATTAATACAATACATTTTTTAAACGGCGGTGGTCGTTCTCCAATTAATTTTATGTTTATCAACCTTTTACGCTTATTAAATAAGAACATTAAAATGACCTATGGCTATTTCAGAATCATATACGTTTAGTACCAGTTAGTTAAAATAATGTTTACGCTATGTATGTATTCCCATGTACACCCAATGTACCTACCAAAGATCTGATCAAAACATCTGACGTCTTAACCTTTAAACCTCTGTTATCAAACATGGAATATTTTTGTTTTGTTTTTTGGTCTCTATATGTTTTCATGTGACTATAAGACGACATACGAGTTAAATTGGAATTGGAAGAGAACACATCTATCATGTTACGATGTAGTACAGTGTACTGTACCAACAATTTTGACAATAGATAGTACTCGTGAAAATTTTCTTAAAACCTTTCTTAAAAAACATTAAAGTAATTATAGTCCATCCATATTTTAACATCGGGAATGGAAACCTACTAATATTGAATAACTTTCAAGCTTATATGTATACGTCTGAATATAGTATTTTCTAGAAAGTATACTGCATATGTATACATATGAAAATTGAACGTGCTTATTACTGAGCTTCTTATTCTGAATATAATTATTTTTAAACTTGTACTGTATGTTTATGTGTGTTAATTGAACATGCTCGTGTATGTAGTTCACATTTTAAATAAATCAAATTTAGAATGATGCACACATGGTATATGTGTGAATGCGAGCGTGCGCGTGTGAAACTATACGCATGAGTGAGCGCAGGTATATATGTACATGGATGTATATGACTTATACTTAGCGTAAAGCACTGGCCTTCCAAACTAATGTGTCATACATTATATGTCTACAGTTTCTAAATCTCACCTCATGTAGATATGTTAAATGTTAAACTTCATTTTTATTCAATTGATAACATGCAGTCAAGTTGTCACAGTTGCGACGAACTATTTTACCTGTAAATAGGTTAGGGAGAGGAATTACCTTTGGGTTTAAATCCATCTGAAAGTACATGTAATATATTGCCTGATTATTGAAATTAATTATCTTTTAAATAGTATTGACAACTTTTGAGCACGCTTAACATACGAATACAGGCAGAAGAACGAAAAATAAATTGATAAACATTTTGGTTGACATTTGTCACAGACATCATGATACATGAAGTAAGCTGTTGTTAACATAATCAACTGTGAAATTTTAGACCGTAAGTGGGGGATTTATTGATGATACCATCAATAAAGGTATTGATAATACCATCAATAAAGGCAGAGTTCACTGCAGTAGCAGGGGAGTAGTGTTTTTACTATCAAGAAAAGGAAAGATCACGATCGGAAAGTCGAAATCGTCACCCTTATCGTACAGCTCAGTAGTAAGCCGTCTCTGTTGGTCCTGTTGAAGGTGAAGATCGGGAAAACGACTGATGAAAAAGACTTTGTATTGCCCTTGATTAATAGTTCAGCAGGGTATATATTATCGTTGTTCTTATTTTCTCAACACACATTATTAAACTATAATACTGTAACAATTTGGAAGATGAGATGCATCTCCTTTTTTATATACTACTTGAACATGAAACAATAATCTGGTTGTAAAGAAAACAAAAACAAATACAGCATTAAATGGCATGCAGACTCTGGAAGTGTTATAAATGTACATCTAATTAACAACAACTTTTAGTTAAACTATCTTAAACTGAGGTAGGCTGGGTTACAATTGGTCTAGGTACGATGAAAACTACATGTTTATTTGCATTATTTGCAGTTTGATTAAGAAAATATTGTTTGGATGTAATTTGTGAAATTAAACATATTTGAACTTCTTATCTGCACTATAAACAGTTATTATTAATGGCATGGCAGGATACCATCCACATGATTTGTTCTTCATCATAATTTTATTTCTCAAAATTCATACTAATTCGCAATCTGACGCTGTATGGCTGTTCTCCTTCTCGCCTTTTTTGAACTTGTGACGTCACAGCCGATAGGGTCAATTCACCGCGAGTTAAAATTATACCAGAAGGACAGGTGAACATTGTACACTTTACACGTCAATATCTCGGTATTGGGCTGACCGACTATAATGCGGTTTTCGACATTTTTGTTTTTTGGATCAGATATGATAATAATATATTCATTTCTATTTTTGTTCAGGGTACACTTTAATAGTCCCCATCGTAGACATACGGCACTGTGTTGTATCCCTAAGCAAGATACTTTACTCCGCTTGTTCCAGTCTACTCAGCTGTACATGAGTACGTTGTTGGGCAGTGCTAGACTTATATAATGCTAGCTGTGAGCGCCGAAATGGCAGCACCGGCTGTATATGCTCCCCATGGAGTTGAGAACAATATTGGCTGGTTGCAAAGGCCCTATAACCACGGATAATAATTTGTGAATCGTTTTGAGACGACATACGAACTAGGTTGTGATAAAGCGGTATATAAGAACCTCGAGTTATTATTATCATTATTAAACCTCTTCGTTATATGTCCGGTCAACGCGTCATTCAATGTCCAGTTCAGGGATTGGAGTATCGAAAGGCTCCCCTGGACGCTGGTGGTCATACATCAACCCCACACATGTCTGACCTTAGGCTATCAAAGTTCCATTTAGAGATAAACTCGTCCAGATACTGCAGGGTCATTGATTGTAAATTGTGTACAAAAAGTCCTAACGCAATGACTGACATTTCTTGTATTAAACATTTATTTAGTTTTAAATTATAAAAACAAAAAATAATAAATAAATATATGAAAATATTAAACAAATGCATAGATAAAATTAATTATCATCCTCATTTGCACGCCTTCAAAAAATCAATTTTTACAGTCTATTTAAGCGATTTAAGATATTTAAACACATTTTTTTCAATCAACTAGGGCATTATCGATTTTCGATATATCAGTGAATTAATTAATTAGCGCATCCAGGAAGTATACAACAAGGAACAGTTTACAAACAGCAAGGACAAATAGTATATGCTATCTAGTCTTTGAAAAAGTATTATTATCCAAAATTATCATCCATGGATATCAGTTATATATTATTACAGCAATATTAACTTTAATTTCTGTAATATTTTTAAGAGGGAATACAAATGAAAAAAATACATAAAAAAAACCACATTGCCCTCATGATTTCACTGTATGCCGATGATGACATGTCGTACGATGGTCGGAGTCCATCTCATATCATCGTTTAGCGTTGTAGAAGGAGCGTGTCGACCGTAGCCACGGCACTCTGACTTGTCGTATATACAGTATTTAACCGTAGTACGGTTAAGATAGGCCCCTTTCGTTGGTCGGGTAGCTCAGTCCGTACGATATAAGTATAACAAGTTGAAGTCCAGAATTTGAATCCCCGTTTAACCCTGGTGACATTTTACACTCACAATACAGTTGTTAATAACACGGATATTTAGTTTATTTCATTTTTCATTATTTTTTACTTAAAAGTCCCGCAGGGTATCGTTTTCATTTTCAGAAAAATATATAAGCTTACTGTATACCGGTATATATTCGCCCAGTTAAACTTTCGCCCTTCGCCAGATACTCTATATTCGCCAAGTGTTAATTTCGCATTAACTTTTAATTGCTATGCATATCATGTTGGTGACTAAAGTTCGTTGTTTGGTTTGTTTTTGTTTTGTTTAACGTCCTATTAACATCTAAAGCCTATTAAGGACGTGCATCCATGCGTGTTGTGTAAACGTACACGTGCTGGAGACAGGGTATGTTGCTGTACCTGCCTCCTTGTAGTAGCGCGGATCGGATGCCGACTTTATAGTAATATTTCACTTAAACACCATGCCGAAGGCACAGCACTCCGCCCGGTCATATTATACTTACAACGGGTGAACCAGTTGTGGCCATTACCCCTAATACTGGCCTTGGGACATAACCCATTGCCTTCCTCACCTTGGCGAACGCTCAACTTTAAAGCCAAAAGCGAGGCATTCCCAAGGAAACTAAAGATACTTCGAAGAAGAGATAAATACAAAGATCCATAATAATGTAATTGGTGCAGCGCATTTATTGTACAATTGAAGATGTTAACGTTCGTGTAATTAAAAACTATCACATATCCCGCAAGGCCGTGGCATATTGAAGTCCTTAAATATGGTAGTAAATGTAATTCCCTGCTGTACGCTCAGCATTTAGGATAATGACAACAACTGTTTCACCTGTTGTCAGTATAATGTGACCGTGCGGAATGCTGTACAGGATGCCTTCGGCATGGTATGTCAGTTAGGTAGCACTCTAAAGTCGGCATCAGATCCGCGCTATCACATGGAGGCAAAAACACCAACACACCGCTTCCATCACAAATACGCACATGCACGCTTACACCATACACATTGAGGCACGTCCTTAAATTATCTTAGCTTTTGATTGGACGTTAAGCTCTATACAAACCAACCAACCCCAAATATCAGCCACAATGCCAAAAGTGTCCCTTTCAGTGTATATTTACACTAGTTCAAGATCCTACGTGACCGTGATAATATTTCCTGTTCTACATATGGAAATAAGTGACGGGAATATCATATTATAGTACATAATAAACGTGCATGAAATCATTTTACACAAAAAATGAACAAACATTTCTGGTATTGATATTATGGTACAGTAAACATCGATGTTTAGCAAACGTCTGTCCCTTTTTGGGTACACTGATGGGCCCCTGTTCAAAGGCGTCGGATCTAGTGCGGATTCTTATTGCTTTACGGGAAAATTGGGTTACTTCACTACACTTTATCTGAGTACAATTTATGACA